CAGAGGTGCCAGCCAGTGCAGGGAGTATTGGCAGGAGCCATTCTGTGGGGTGGTGTGAGCCCCACAGAGCTATGGGAGCAGGCAGTGGCCGGGCATGGCTATGGCTTTGCAGTTTCCCTAGTAGGGCTCAGTCTTGACACATTCAAGTTGTTTGTGGGAGAGCTGCTGAGCACCCTGTGAGCAGTGCGATGCCTGTGCTCCCTGGAAAAGATAATGTGGTGAGGCCCAGCAAGGTCTCAGTAAGCTCAGCAGGATGTCCATTGCAGAAGTCATCACCGCTCTGGGGACAACCCTAGCTTCAACAGCATCACATCCGGCTCCTGGCTCCTTCTGTCTTGCAGGGATATAGTCATTGCTGATGCTCCCACTCCTGGAGCTGGTGCCATGGCCAGCACCAGGTTGGCTGATGTGACACAGACCTGTTGGAAAGGGCTGGCCCTGAATGCCCAGAGCTAGTGGACTGCTGGCTCACAGTCTCATGCGAGGACATGAGCCATTGACCACTCTGGGGCTGGTGAAGTGGTGATGGCTGGACTGTGCATGTTTGCTCCTCAGAGCCTGCAGGGAGGAGTCTCTCGGTGGGTATCTGCACTGCTCTGCATCTGAGGCTGCACCCAGGCATGCCCCCTTGCTGGTGGTAGGAGGAAACAGGGTGATATGAGGAGGCTCTCTGCTGCAGAGATGGCAGTTGGTGCCCTGGCTGCTGCTCTCCCTCCGTGCTCTGCAGCCTGTGAACTGGGGTGCTGGCTCTACAGCCCTGGACTCAAGCATCACAAGATCCAGCGTCTTCCAGGAATAAACCTCCCAGTAAAGCACTTTCAAGACTCTTCCTTCCAGGTGCTGCTCAGCTACTGCTGCAGGACTAGGTGGGGAAGGGACAAGATAAGCAACTCCCTGTGGCAGGGTCTTTTCAATAAAAGCATCCTGGCTCAAAGGCAGCGTTGTTCCTGCAGAGTTGCAGGTCTCTGTGCGTGTGTGTGTGCGCATGTGTGTAAATGTACCAGCACTTCTTGAGCACATGTGTATGGTCCTTAGAAGGAGACCTGTTCTTGCATACCATGCAAGAGCTGCAGGTCCCCTAAGGTCATCTTGCATGCATCTCTCTGACCTTTGAGAGAGGGCTGTCAGGGATATACAAGAGGTTTTTAAAAAGCTCTGGTGCCCTGGAAAATGTTTAGAGGTGCTATCCTGGAGAGTCAGAGCAGACACGTGCCTATCAGGAGTTGTTTAACCAGACCAGCGGCACACACAAAGAAACAAAGGAGCAAGACTGTGCTGCAAAGTCAAGGAGCTGGGGTAGTCACCAAAAAAATACTGCAAAATGGACTGGTTGTGGCCAAATAAAAAAGGAGCACATAAGTCTGTCACATTAAATGTAAAAGCAGGTTGTGATGTTGAGGCAAAAAAGAAACCCTCCCTCCCAAAAAGATCCCAGCCACCACTCCTTCTCAGACCATGGCAGTGCAGGAAGGCAGGGAACTGCAGAGATGAGTGCTACACAAGAAAGGCAGCAGCAATGTTGGAGAAGAGGTATTTTTCTGAGGCATGTATGTGCGCATTACCTGTGAATGAGTCTGGTAGCACCAGCACAGTGCAAATGCCTGACACGATGCCAGGGCAGAGTAAGACATGCACACATAACACAGACCACCCCCCGCCCCCAGCACCAGCACCACAGTGGTACAAGGAAAGGGCTCTGTGGCTCATGCAGAGCAATTCTGGCACATCAGTTTAAGACAGGTTGGACAGTGTTAGCACATGTGTGTGGGTGATAGTGAACCAATTGCTAGCTTGTACATTACTAAGCCAGAACCGACTTGGCAAAAGCTCTCACACACACAAAGCTGAGATAGGGGCTGGGGAAGGCTTTCACGCACTGCAGCAACAGCTAGTTAAAGCCAGGAATAACAGCAGAACTGGCACCCATGAAGTCCTGCAAGAAGCCACATAGGGCTACAGCGGTCAGCATAGTCACAGCAAAGAGCACGCTGCAGCAACCAGAGACTGTTAACCTGCTTGGAGCACTTCTGTCTGGAGATGTGACCGCTACCAGGCAGCAGGGTAGACACACACCCCCACCCCACCCCCGCCCCCCCTAGTGGCAGGAGATGGTGACCAACTTATTCACAGGACACAAGCAAAGGATGAGTGAAGCAACCGGCATTAGCAGCAGCGTTGTCGCCCCCTCAGCACAAGCTGCAGCACTCAAGGTGCAGGACGGCATGGACACCAAACATCCTGGTTCAACACAGGGCAGGAAGCCACATCAAGGGCTGTTAAACCCACACCACCAACAGGTCAGTCATCCCTCAGTGCTGGAAGCTGAGGCTGTGACAATGACCTGCTCACCCTAGCAATCCCAAAAACATCTACGGGTTGCTCTGTGCCCTCAGCTGTGAGAGGAAAGGCATGAGACCATGCCTCAATGCACAAAACCACAAGTGAGAAAAACAAAGCACAGCTCTGACTGACCTGCAGGGACCCAAGCCTCCCTAGAGTGCAAACTTTCCTCACAGCACCTGCCCATGGCACTCGGTGGGAGACCAGCTCTGTCGCCCCAGGCTGCACACAGTAAGTACTGCTCAGCTGCAGCTGTCAGTGTCACCAGCCTTAGAAGGGGAGATGTGCTGCGATGTGACAGGAATCCAGCAGCAAGGTCCTCAGCCAGAAAGCAGCTGCAAACTGTTACTTGCCAGAGAAACCATCTGCTGGCTGCAGCCTCCCCTGCTCTCTCTGGGGAGGGAAACCAAGTGCACAGCTTGCCCATGTCTCCAGACCACAGCCAGGCATGCAGCAGGACAAAGGCACCACAGAGCAGGCACACAGGGGAAGAGACTGAGACCTGTTGGCATACAGGGGGCTTGTGTCCTCCCTGGCCTCAGCATGGTCAGCCATCAGCTCCCATCTGTGCAGATGACATTCCCAGGTGCTCAAGACATACCAGTCCAGCACAGCCTGGACCAGCTCCCCCATCAGCTAACAAGGGCCACCCTGGGCCCTGGCAGCCCTCAGCACAGGGGAAATAGCTCCTTCAGGGCCAGCAGCTGAGGAAGATGGAGCTCCAGGGAAGCTGCAGGCTCCATGAGCTCAGGGCACAGCCCAGGCCCTCACTGCAGGTGAAGAAACCTCACTGCAGGCAGTGCAGCAGAAAACACGGTACCTTGCACACTTGTGCATTGCACCCCATCCAGCACTCAAACCCAAATGACAACAGTAAAAAAAAAACCCCTCAGTTTATTTCGCTATAAAGGCAGAGCTTTCCTTTAAAAACCAGCTCATTTCACTAGCGAGAGGGTATGGGGCTAAACTGCAGGGGTAAGGCCTTCCTCCCTCACTCCTCCAGGCCAAGAGCTATTGCTTCCTGAGGGTCACACACACACCAAGCAAGTCCTCCACCATCTCCAGGGGGCCACTCAGCCTCAGCTGGTCCCCAGTCTCCACCACTAAGAGCAAGGCAGGAGAAACAAGTGAGGCAGGTCAGACACAGTGCAGTCTGAGAAGCACTGTCTGCATCCTGTGGGCTCAGGGCACTTGGGGTGGCTCTGCATGCGCTGGGAGCAGGCAGAGCGAGGAGCACCGGTCCACCAGCCTGAGCTGGGAGCAGGGAGCAACTGCAGTTTGAGGCGACTCATGCAGGCGGAGAGCAGGACAAGGAGCAGGTGTCACAGTCTGTACGCTGCATGGCAGCAGTGCCAGCAGACTCTGTGCCTGGTGGGCAGTGCCAGGGGTAGGCACTGTCTGGCCCAGGTGCAGGCACAGTGTGAATCCTGAGTGGCTGGTCCATTGTTGCAGAGATTTGGGTTAGCCCAGAGGAGTCTTAGGGTCAGCAGTCCTGGGGCCAGCTGTGGGGAGGTCTCCAACCCTTCCCAGCCCCTTCCAGCTGTCTGGGGGTTGCCCCAAGCGGTAGCACAGTAGCTGTGCAGTAGGAGAGCTCGCTCTGGGCACAAGAGGTGCTGACTCTGAAAAGCAAGAGAGAGGAAGACCCAGTCCATGAGGCATGCGGTTGGGAACCTAGCACAGCCTAGGAAGGGAAGCAGACCTTCCCAGGTGAGCCATCAGCCCCCTCCCCCTGCAGAGGACATGCTGGGCGATGTGGCAAAGCAGCACTGAAGGAACTTACCTGCTGGGCTGTGGGCTCTCCTCCCCAGCTCCTCCATGCTGCTTTGTAAGAGAACAGAGCACCCATCACACCCCAAGCAAGGCCTCCTGAGAGACGCAGCATGCTCACATCCCTGATAACACAGGCATGGTACAGCAGTACCAGGCATTCAGAGTGCAGAAGGTC